CCCTCAAAAAAAAAAAGAAAAAAAGAGAACCTTTGGGAAAAATATACCTTGAAAGTCAATCAAAACCTCACAATCCATACATCAACACAACACAACATGCCGACGTTTCTAGTCTTCCAGCAGATCATGTCCATCTACTCAGATTCATGGAACGTGAAATTAAAAAGAGGGCTTTAAACCATGGCAATATTTCATGGGAGACGTTGATTAATAAGAAAATCGTATAAAAGTCAATATGGTTAAGTTTGGCCTACGTGGTTTGTCATGCTTTTTTGTGTAGTCTTAATATAAGAGGCAGCTGCCTTGAACGTTAACTCAATTATTTTGGTGATTGATTGCACAAATAAAGCTCTACTGTTTCTAGAGGACGAATTTCTAATTATGTGGTAAAAGTTTCACGAAACGGAACATCAATGTCCATAGTCTTATCAGATTTGTGAAAAAAATAACCAAAAGATGTAGCAAGGCTTTACGATATTTTAAAATATTTCTAAGACTGATTCATGTCCCAACATTAGTCAGACGTCCCAAAAGTAAAGAGGGCTTTCCACAGTGTCTCATCGTGGGTAACAACAGCATATACGCGTACAAAGAAAAAAACATTTTATGGGCCAGCACATCTCCGAGTTAAGCTCTCTAATACTAATACACAGGACGAACGGAAAAAGAGAGAAAGGTTGCCTCAGTATAAAAAACCCAACCTCTTAATGTGTAAAAAAATACCCTGCAGAATTAAGTACGTCTCGCAGCAAATCAGTCTAGCATTGGTAGACAAGCCTGAAGAAAACTGAAAACAGAAAATGGTTGTCCTTCAGTGAGCGTCCACAGAGCTGGGACTAGGGTTCATTTACTTCTCACTAAGCCAGCACCCATATCGAGGCTGGCACGAGCTCCTCCTCATACTCCCTCTGCACCTCCTCGGCAGACGGACGAGTGATGCTCTCCCAAAATGAATAGCCAACCGTCTAGCCCGCGAGAGCCAATGGACGTTTGTATCGATAGCGCTCGTCTCTATGGACATTTATTAC